TCTCTCTCTCTCTCTGTGGCGTTCTCCGCCGCTTCCTGCTGGGCATGCGCAGCTCGCCTCGCGCTTCCATTCCGGCCCCTCCTTCCCCGCCGCTCCGTTCCTTTCTCTTTCTCGCGTGTCAGAGAGCGGCGGTGCGAGCGCGGCGGTTCCCTCAGGGCTGACGGAGGGCTCGAGGAGGAGGAGGCAGGACGTGGAGGCGGAGAAAGCGGCGGCGGCCACCCCCCACCTCCGGCTCGAGGCCCGCGTAGAAAGCTGAGGGGGAGAGATAGATAGAGGTGGGCGGCGGCAGCGGCGGCGACCACGACCAACCGCCACAGTAGTTGTAGCGGTGGCGACGGCGAGCAGGACTCCCGCTCTCTCTCCGTCGTGTCTCTCTCTCCCGGGCCCGTCCGTTGAGTCTCCCGCGCGCCTCGGCTACAAGATGAGCATCGAGATCCCGCCGGGTCTGACTGAGCTGCTGCAGGGCTACACGGTGGAGGTGCTGCGGCACCGGCCGCCGGACCTGCTGGCCTTCGCCGCCGAGTACTTCGCCAAGCCGCGCTCTCCTTCCTGCCTCGCTTTGCTGCCTCCTCCCCCCCACCCCCAAAGCTTGGAGGTTCCCCAGCGCCGACCCGCAGGTTTGACCCCCTTCTCACACCTGTTCGCGCTCCTTGCACGGAATGGGGCGGATGGGGAGGAACGGGGCTCGCCGCTGCCTCCGCTCGCCCTCCCCCCTCCGCCGGCGGTCCCGCGATTCTTGGCTTTTTGGCGGTTGGCACAGAAGGAAGGCAAGGGGGAGGGGAAAAAATTGAATCTTACACTTTCGTGCGTCCCTCCCGGCGTGACGCTGCGCGCTGACGTCACGGGGCTGTAATGGTGGTGTGCCTCGAGATTTTTTTCATGAAACAAGTGTGCCTTTGCCCAAAAAAGGTTGGGAAACACTGTCCTAATTTACTGGGCATCACCCGTCATCTCCCAAACTCCTTCCCCTTAGATTCTCAAGGTCTGAAACTCCAGGAAACCTGGACAGGGCTTAAAACTACTTGGAAGTAATCCACTCTGACACCTAAACGCTAAACCTTGCTTATATTCCCAGAAGTGGAAGAGACGGCTGGGATTGCTGAATGGCGGGGGCCAAGCCCTCTGCTCACATCTACCAAGGGCTGAGCCTCGGATTTTTTTGGGGGGGGGGGGGAACGGGACACAAAAAACAAAAGCCCTGCTCCAAACTAAATCCTGAAGTCACTTTTTACCTCAGTCATTCCGCAGGGCTTGACAGCAGAGCCACACCCTTCCTGTAATACACTGATGCATAACCAAAACAAAACCATAAAGTTAAAGCAGCCGTCCTCCACCGCTCTGAGACTCATCTACTTCCTTCATGAGGCTCAGTTACTTCCTCCAAGGTGTTTCGCCTCTTCCTCTGTGACACTGGTTCCCTCACCTTTTTTTGTTCAGAGCTGTTGCATCAAGTGGCAGGCAGGGTGAGGTTGCAGGGGGACGACACCCTCTCCAAATCCTCTCCTACTGCATTAAACCACTGCCTTCCTTATTTCTCTCACAGCAGGCAAGTGGACTGGCAGGAGGCAAATCTCCCACATGAGGCAACTGGACTGGACAGCGTTAGCAGAGAAAGGACACTCTTTCTGCTATGTTCTGACTTGGTTTTCATGAATTGGTGATAGTCATCAAGTTGTTTTGCTTCTATCCAAGCTGGAAGCCATCCACAGGGTTTTGGCGATCCAGAGCAGCGCATGGAAATGCCATTTACCTTCCCGCCAGAGCGGTACCTATTTATCTACTTGCAATTTGACGTGCTTTCGAACTACTAGGTGGGCAGGAACTGGGGCTGGGACCGAGCAACGGTTAGTTTTTATTTACTAAATTTGTATACCACCCTGCAGTTCATAACACAAAACTACAAATAAATAAATAAATACATAATAAAAACAAAAACAAGGAAAACCCAATAATCTCCTGTCCCCAATATATTTAAAATGGCATCAGATGCCACTCAGCCAAAGAGGGACGCTTTCACCTGGTGCCTAAAGGTATATAATAAAGATGTATAATTTAAAAACCAGAGGAAGGGAGAGACAGCGTTTATCTCCTGCACACACTCCAGAACATCAGATGTGCACAAATTTCTTGCGAAATTAAATTAAAAATTATGGGTTTTCTTTCCTCTTGATCATTATCATCTAGCATTTGCCTCAAGACATCTGGTCTGTGTGACGAATACCAAGTCAAATGAGTGAATCCTACTCAGACAGAGTCTGGTGACGTGAACTGCGATGCCTCATAACTTCATGAATTTCTCTAAAAGTCAGAAAGCATATTTTCCCAAAGGTTCGTAAGCAGGCTGTTTGTATCCTCATTCCCAAAGACTTGAGATGAGTTGTTGTTGTTGTGCCAGTTAGCGAGAAGGGAAGCCCTCCCAGCTCATCAATTGTTGGCTTATCGATACTTTTCATTTGGTGTCCTTACTATGTAGTGTAAGACATTTAAAGTCCACAACTTTCCCAAATGACTCCTGCGAACTACAGCTTGGTTTCTAGGAAATGTATGTCCTCAATCTTGAGAATGGTATTTAGGCAGAAGGTCAAGAGGAGAGCTTTACTTGGAATGCAGTTGAGGAAGTATTAAGGTTTCAGTGCTGATTGATCTGTTGTTGGCTCCACAATTACTGACTTATCCTGCTATGAACCTGAGCTTGCATAGCCAATTATGGCTTTATATTTTCTAACCTCGCTCTCTTCGTATTTTCTCTTTTGCATTCAAAAGAATAAAAATTAGAAATGAAAACATTACGCGGGCAAAGTTGCGGCTTGGACTGAATTATTTCAAACTGTGTTGTTGTTGTTGTTTTTTAAATCAAGCACACGGACACGTAAAGGCTGCCTTTCCAAGTATGTATATACGGAAGTAAATTCCCTTGAAGTTAGTGGCAATTGAATGTAAGTAAATGTGCCTCTCCACACACCACAGTGAGGGGAAATCCTAGTTGATCCCTTTTCTCTCTGTGGTGTGTAAATACATGTCATTAAGTAAACGCCAAGTGATGGGAAGAAGAGATATAGCACAGCAATAGCTGAAGTCAGGCAGTAACCACAGAAAGCCAGCACTGCCTGGGGAGACTGTCTCAACATAGGAGGGAGAAAATATATTTTAAAGTGGGTGGAATACAGCATGCTCCGAAGGCTTGCTGTTGCACACGGACAAGGTTCTAAAGAACATTTGTTGTACGAGTTGACAAGCAGCAAAAACAACAGCAACAAACCTACCAGCAAAGCATCTCTCACGGGGCTTATCAGCGTCCATCCCTTTTAAAATAATGTATGCCCCATTAATTCATTGTTAGGGAGGCGGGTGGCGCTGTGGGTTAAACCACAGAGCCTAGGACTTGCCGATCAGAAGGTTGGCGGTTTGAATCCCCGCGACGGGGTGAGCTCCCGTTGCTCGGTCCCTGCTCCTGCCAACCTAGCAGTTTGAAAGCAAATCAAAGTGCAAGTAGATAAATAGGTACCGCTCCGACGGGAAGGTAAACGGCATTTCCGTGCGCTTCTCTGGTTCGCCAGAAGCGGCTTATTCGTGCTGGCCACATGACCCGGAAGCTGTACACCGGCTCCCTCGGCCAATAAAGCGAGATGAGTGCCGCAACCCCAGAGTCAGTCACAACTGGACCTAATGGTCAGGGGTCCCTTTACCTTTTCATTGTTATAGTTATAGTTTTTCATTGTTATAGTTGTCATTCAGTGGGGGTTGGACTTGAGGGAGCTGGTGGCCAAACACGTCTCAGAGCTAGCTGTTGAAGAACAGCGGCAAACAGAGCTTATTCTACACTTAAAATCCCTGCTTCAGTTCAGGAGGTGGCCTGTCCGCACAAACCCCTTACCTGCAATGAGGCTGTGATGTGCTGTCTGACCCGCCTTACAGGGCTGTGGCAAGGATTGTGGAGATAATGCATGCAAACCACTTCCAGGTATCTAAAGCGTTGCCTAAATGCTGCAACAGCAAGGAGCCTGGAGGGCCGGAGTTGACACATCCCTGCCTTAAGGAAAACCTTCACAACAGCCTCCTGGATCAGGCCACTGGTCCATTCAGCATCCTGTTCTTCTCACAGTTGCCAGTCAGATGCCTGTGGAAAGCCTGAAAGAATACTCTAGGGGCCGACAGCACTTGCAGTTCTCAGCTACTGGTATTCAGAGACATACTGCCTTGACTTTTGAGGTAGAGCCCAGCCGCCACAGCAAACAGCCACAACAGATGGTGGCACCATTTTTAAGGCTGTGACAAGAGGCCACGAGCCAAATTTCATCTCCAACCACTTCATCTCCAGAACTTGAGAAGCTACAGGTGCTTAACGCTATGAACCACCCTGAAATCTACAGATGAATTATTATTATTATTATTATTATTATTATTAGCCCCCTGCTTTGCCTCTGGCTCTTGTGTTCTTCCACAGAGCAAGCCAAACACCTCAGTCAGTAGAGCAGGAGACTCCTAACCTCAGGGTCGTGGGTTCGAATCCCACCGTCGGGCCAAAGATTCCTGCAGGGCCAGGAGCTTGCACTAGGTGAGTCTTGCGGTCCCTTCTAGCAACCGCTGCATCTCACAGACGGCTTATCGCCCTCCAAAGTGTTGTGCTTCTTTCTTTCTCTCTCTCTCTCTCTCTCTCTCTCAGACTGAGGTGGGGAAAGTGTGTTTGCGCGTGTGTCTGCTAACATGCAAACAAAAAAAAAAAGGTTCTGAGTCATACCACCTTCCTAGAATTTATTTTCATTATTACTCCAGCTCAGGTCTCTGGCAGAGAGAGAGAGAGAGAGAGAGAGAGAGAGAGAGAGAGAGAGAGAAAGAAAGAAAGAAAGAAAGAAAGAAAGAGAAAGAAAGAAAGAAAGAAAGAGAGGCCTTTCCCAGCCGGGACATTCTGCGCGCAAAATTTGGGCTCCTGCCCCGCGGAGATGCGCCAAAAAGATCACTTCCAGTGAGCACTCAGGGCTGATTTCCTTCAGATCACTTACCAGCCATGGCGCTGCTTCCTCCCGCTGGCGTTGTCTGCCCGATCGGGGATTGCTTTTTGCAAAGCTGTCCGTCTCGCAGGCTGCAGCTTGCGCCTTCCGATGTTTCTGTTTCTGGTCTGGGCTGCTCTCGCCGGACTCCAGCTGCTACTACTATCCCTCCACCCCCCTACCCCGCGCAGGGCTGGGAATTTCCCCCGAGTGATGACGAGCATTTTGGGAGGCTGGCCCCGAGGTGACGTACTTGCCCGCCTCCTTCTCCAAAAGCGCTTTAGACAGCCCAGAAACCTCAACACCTCCTTGCTGCCTTCTCACTTGGCGTGCCGGTGAGGTCAGAACCCCACAGCCCAGCCCATAACCTTTCTTTTCTGAATGTTAGGGGAGCCCCCCTTTGTGATCCTCTCCCCCCCAAAAAAATCAGCTTTTAAGCAAATATGCTAAAACTCTGGTGTCATCATGAATGCTTAATATGAGAGCAACCCTTCCCCCCTTTTTTTAAAAATATTTTTTATAAAATTTTCCATTTTAACAATCCAATCAAATCACATTAAGTATTCCCAATTATACAAATACATATCATATACGGTAGTCCAAATATTCTGCCAAAAGCAACCCTTTTTTTTTCACCCAGTGGGGACAGAAATCCATTTCTGCTTATGTGTGGGGCAGTTGAGCCAGGAAAAAGAAAGGGGGGCTATTTAATTTAATTGTGTTTTTTTATTTATTATTCACCAACTGTAAAGGAGATGAATTTATTTGACCCTATCTACATCAAGCTATATACCGTACTTATCACCAAACTCCGAATATAATTGTACATTGTATTAATTAACATTATTTTTTTAATATATTAGTGGCCATGTGATAATTTTAGCTTGTAAATTTTATTGTTTAATGTCTTAACTTGTACATTAAGTTACTTTTATAGCTTTTGCAAATGTTTTAAGTTTTCTGTATCAATCCAGTATATTTTATTTTAATTGTTGGATGATTCTGTATACATTGCAGCAGCCTTTGGCTATGTGCAGTAAAACTGACTGAGAATTTACCATATATTCATTTATCCCACCCTCCAGAATTTCTCCTCCCAGGGCAGCTCACATATTGCATTTGACCACATTCAAATGATTAAAAAATACCAATTAAAATAGTAGCTCCAATAAAAGGCAACAGCAGCAGGAGAGTACATTTTGCAGCTTGCATTGCATCCTTCAGCAGCTGGACTGCAGAGTTATTTTGGACGCCCAGGAGGTTACTGATTCCCAGTGTGGAGGGAGACATTTTTGGAGTGATCTTGCCTCTACACTTGTTGCAGCTCCAGTTGGAGGTAACCCAGCATAGTTACCAAGGATGTTTTGTGGGATCAGTTTCACCTTATGCAATCAGAGGATGTGGACGAGGTGGCATTGCATCGCCGCTGCCCCCCTCCCCTCGTTCCTCCCGGCTTATCAAATCTTGCAGACAGGGAGCCAACTGGTTGGTTCTGGACCCTTTGGATTGCAACAGCCAGTTGCCAATACCCCCATTTTGCAAGTGGTGCTGTTGTCTAAACCACTGAGCCTCTTGGGCTTGCCGATCAGAAGGTTGGCGGTTCGAATCCCCGCGACGGGGTGAGCTCCCGTTGCTCGGTCCCAGCTCTTGCCAGCCTAGCAGTCTGAAAGCACGCCAGCTCAAGTAGATAAATAGGTACCGCTCCGGCGGGAAGGTAAACGGTGTTTCCATGCACTCTGGTTTCTGTTGCGCCAGAAGCGGTTTAGTCCTGCTGGCCACATGACCCAGAAAGCTGTCAGCTCCCTCGGCCTGAAAGCAAGATGAGCACCGTAACCCCACAGTCGCCTTTGAGTGGACTTAACCGTCCAGGGGTCCTTTACTTTTATCTTACCTTACCTCCATTTTGAAGGAAGGTGGTGGAAAGGACCATGGTGGGGCAGCTGCAGGCATTCTAGGAAGACACAGATTATTTGCATTCATTCTGTTATAAGAATTTTAAGGTCATATATTAAAAAAAACAACGTTCATAACTGTATATGTAAACCACATGTCTGAAACCCCACAGAACAAATTGACCTCCAATATTTCTCTGCAAGGTCAAAATGGGAAACCTTCCCATTGTCTCTTTCCTCACAAATCCTGTCCTCACATATCCTGTCTTAAGGGCACATTCAAGATATGAACAGGGTGTGAGCCTGTGACCTGTGACCTAGATTCCGGAATTAAGTAGTTATAATAACAAAAGAGTGGCCAAAACCCAGATAATGCAATCGGGTAACTTGCCAGACAAGAGATAAGCAATGCACTCAGATTTCTGTTGTAGACTGCCTTTTCTGTGTTGTAGATATGATGAATCTGGGGTGATGGTCTTTGGCTACACCCCTTCTGTGATGTATGTATGATGTTTCTGGGGGTGGTCTTGGACTCCAGGACGGGCAATTTAAAATGTCTATATAAGGGCTTGCGCGCATGGCTCTGGGTCCTCCTCCTCTCTCCTGCGTGTGGGGGAACACCCTGTTGCAACAGTTGCATCAGGCTTACTAGCTGCTTTGCTACTCAACATTCTCTTTTTGGTCTCTGTTATTTTCTCCTACCAATAAAGAACCTACAAAAGGACTCTATATGGGCTCTTGGGTATCCCATAAGGGAAAAGGAGCAGTTTTTTTCTTATAACAATTCCAATCTGGGTCCGAGCCTGGCTATGGAACTGAGTCGCCCCGGTTGCCCTGGTGGATGACCTCTGCAGGCATTGTGGGGAGTGGAACCTTGCTCCTGGTTAATCCACGGCTGAATTATTATTATCTTGAGACAGCTAGCAACTGGGGGGGGGGGAAGAATTGCAACTTGATCTGCAGAAATCTGGAGGTGATGCAACATCGCCTGCTATTGTCTGAGAATCAAGATGCTGTTAAAAGGCCCAGGAGCAGGGAGCCAATGAAAGAGCTAGCAGCCTCTAGCTCTCACTTTGCCTCAAAACCCTCAGTTCTTTGAAGTGTGACAGTGACCTTTTTTAAAAGAAGAAGAAGAAGAAGCTGTCAAAGGTGACTCAGTGAGATAATAGTTAGAAGATGGACATGCAAGTCCCTTCTTGGGATGACATTATCACACACACACACCCTTTTTTTTTGGCTTGTTTTAATCCAGCAAGTAACAATAACCACAGCCTGTGACTTTGCTCTTTAGAGATGTGCAGCTGAAAGGCAAGAGCGAGAAAAGATTTGACATTGCACAAGATGCAGTGCCAAAGAAGCCCATGTCACAGTGGTCCTCTTGGCTTCCATCATGGGATTGATTATGTTCACACTGGTAGTTTTCGAAGGCACATCTGCACAACATTAGCCGCAATTCATATGGTCTATGGTCTGTCTGTGTGGTTTGGGAGCTGCATGGTCAGGGAAAAAACAATGCTCTCCAGGGTTGTAAAGACTGTGGAGAGAATAATTGGGTGCACTCTTCCCACCTTGGATCAAATCTATGCTTCCAGGCATCATAAGAAAGCTGCAGAGATAGTGCAGGATAGTGCGCACCTTGGAAATGATCTCTTTCAGCTCCTGCCTTCTAGAAGAAGGTACAGGGTTATAAAGACCAGGACTAGCTGCCTGAGAAACAGTTTCTATCCAAATGTGATTTAGGTTTTAAACGCTGTGTAAAGTAGTCTCTATGGGAGTATATTGTATTTAATTATGGGGTATCAGAGTTTTCAGGGGGTTAACCAAGCTGGGACAGCTGGAATAGCAGGCTTGTTGGTTTTTGAATGTCTGATGTAGATTTTTTCAATTTCGTTGTTCTGTATGGGACAATGACAATAAAGATTATCGTATCGTATCGTCGTTTCTTGACAAATACTGCTGTTTGATGTGTGTGTTTTTCTTCTCAAACAAGCTTCAATCCAAGTGGTATAATGCGAACATGCCCCCTCGCAGCTGTCGCACATGTGCGGAATGCAGCTTCATGGGGTTGATGGGCGACTGCATGGGTGGAGAAACAAGGAAGTTTATGTGCATTGGCTGGAGACATCCCTGCACCATCTTGAAATGCAGCAGGGGAAATAATCTCACAAGAAGATCAAACCCATCCATTCTGAAGGAAACCAGCCCTGAGTGCTCCCTGGAAGGACAGATCCTGAAGCTGAGGCTCCAATACTTTGGCCACCGCGTGAGAAGAGAAAACTCCCTGGAAAAGACCCTGATGTTGGGAAAGATGGAGGTCACAAGGAGAAGGGGACGACAGAGGACAAAAGTGTTCTCGAAGCTACCAGCATGAGTTTGACCAAACTGCAGGAGGCAGTGGAAGACAGGAGTGCCTGGCGTGCTCTGGTCCATGGGGTCACGAAGAGTCGGACACGACTAAACAACTAAACAACAATAATATAATAAATAATATTATAATATAATATAATATAATATAATATAATATAATATAATATAATATAATATAATATAATATAATATAATATTACATATAACATAACAATGTAATATAAAATAAAGTAAATTACTGGGACTTTTGATGACTGGTTTTCAAATATGCTTTATTAACTTTATAAATAATGAGGATGAAGCTTTTAGAGATTTCAGAGCCTTGTCTTCTTTCAATCCTCATAACAACCCTACAAGTCAGATCAGTCTAATTGTCCTCATACTGTAAATCGAGAGCTGAAGCTAAGAGATAATTGTTTTCCAGAAACCACCTACAAAGGCCATATTCAGTCCGGGAATTCCACATTTATAGCTCTGCCTCTTATCAGCTACAATCACTTAGTGTTCCCAGTTTACAGATGAGGAACTGAAAAGGTAGAGGCTTGCCAAAATATACACAAGGCCAATTTAACTGCCGTAGCTTCTCTCAAAGGCTGTGCCCACAAGAAGGTGTTTAGTGTGTATTCCTGTGTGCTTGTTTGTGTTTCTTTGCCCACACATAAGCACTTCAAAATTTGTATCTCCCAAATCTGTCTTGATGTTTCCTATCCACATTCGTGGGGAGATGGGATGCACTGATTTTAGGTGTTGTTGCTCCCTCTGCTCAGTTTCGTACTTCTGGAAACTTGAGGTCTGTTGTGAACATGCAAACAGGTATTTGTTTGTATGCATTGCATGGAGAAAGTGGACCGGAATGCTGCAAAATTCAGAACATAATATAATGGTGAAAATAGCATACAAAACACATTACATGGAGCGCTTTACAATACAGTGGTACCTCGGGTTACATACACTTCAGGTTACATACGCTTCAGGTTACAGACTCCGCTAACTTAGAAATA